ACTCTTCTGGCAATCAGAAGTACGAGCTAGTTTCCTATAATTAATGAGCCGTTTTGATGTGCGTAGCATGAAGGTATCTCCATCTTCTCGGTGGAACTCGATCATTCTAACGTATCAATGGTATTAAATTTACTCGTCGCTTCTGTCGTAACTTTGCGCATGTACTCACATTTTTTCCACATGTGTGCAACGTGTAGAACTTGAATAAAACAACAAAAAAGGTGACGCAACGTGAAAAACCGCATTGAAATAAAAGTAGAAAGAACGTGTCGGTATAAGCTGGAAGAAATGTGACAAAGACGCGTGTCTCGTGTCTGAAATTAGCTCGATATGATGAAGCAGACGTTTATTTATAGCGCAGTCATCCGACGCATTTATTACCTACTCGGGAAAAGAAATCAAAAATAAGACTTTTAGATGTTTTTATGTTTTTTATTCAAATATCGCACGACATGTAAACGCTTGTAAAACGTTGAATGTAAATGCAAATTTTTAAAAATCTACTGCAAACAACCGAATTGTATTTTTAGGGTTGGTGGGGACGTGAGTAGAGAGGATAAAACGGGATGGTAAACGTGTGCGCTTGTCGTGAGGGCTAAATTTATCCGCGCGCATAAATCGGGACGCGTTCGGGCGCGAAGACAACGCGCCGTGGACGAAATAACCGAAAACATACGCATTCGGGACATCGTGGCTAAAAACAGAAAAATAACAGAATGCGTGCGTTTGTTGGCACAGCCATGCGAGCGAGAGTATCATTGCCATTGCCAAAGCTTTTCTGTTGACGCCCGCGCTACGAAATTAAATGAAGTGCCGAAACGGGTGCGAAGAATTGTGGCCGTTTTGTTGTTGTTGCTTCGTCACGCGGATAGATGGGAATACATCCAGTGTATTCAGGAGAACGTGCAACGAAATAATTAGCCCCTTGTGACTGTACACTGCACAGTTGCACTAAATTTAGATTTTTTGACGGAAAAAAATTCGGTATTCAGACAGATGATATTTTTTATTTTATATAATCAAAAAAATTAATTAGGAGATTCCAGGAGTGGAGTAGAGTTGACTCTGTGAAGGCATGTACGAATGTTAGGTATTTTCATTAAGTTACACAATCGCAATTAGACGTTTTAATGATTTTAATGAAGGAAGAGGACTTAATGAGAATGTTTGCGCGATAGGGAAATTATATTCCAGGAAAGCATACAGTGGTGTACTTGGATTAAAATTACGCCTTAAAAAATTCCCGACATTTCTCATTACTCTCATTGCCCTCTAGAATACTGCAACGTTTTGTACAAAGCTTTGCTGGAAGTTAGAAGATACTTGGTTAGTAGTTGGTAGTCTCATATTCTCATTGCTCATTGCCGAGGCATTTGAATGGCGATATCTTATCGCGCAATCTAATTTTAATTAATAGTAACCGTCTGGGGGCTGCGTTCACGGACTCGCGCCGACGACGACGGCGGCGACGAACGACGATAGCGAAGCGACGCCGAACAAACAGAATTGTGTACGGTGCAGACTTGCGGCATCTTTCGGTTCGCACAGAGGCATAACGAGAAACGTGGCATCTTCGCCATGCACTGTGCAGTCTTAGGTAAACTAACTAGTTAGTTACTGGAACTCGTTCGACGATCGAGAGTCCGAGAAATCGTGAAGTCCAGCAAACGGAAAAAATCACAAACATAGTCGAACGTTGAAAACGACGTCCTGGTACTGTTCTTCTTGAGGTCGTAGTTTTCCGCATGCTGGAATTGATTTTAATGTAAAATGTATTTCTAATACTAATGAATGTCAATGGTGTTAAGAAATAATGATCCTCACCTGGGTTCCCAGCTTCTTGGCGTCGCTGCATTACTGCTAAATTTATTTAAGTAGTTGTGACCTCAAGAAGGAAACTGAGATACAAGAAACTCGCGTGGAATTTCCGACGTTGTGTGTTTTATGTGCTACGTCATTAAATGTGCGAATATTTCCACACCTTGTTAGTTGGTTAGTAATCACGCATCTTGTTTATTTTATATCTTAAAATGAAAAAATGTAGAAATTCTAACGAGAACATTTTAATAAATTTAATATAGACGTGAGGGTAATTCCAATCATGTGATTGTAATCATGATCATAATTAGATATCTGTGGATCGGAAGAAAAGTAGCGTGTGATGTGACTCGCACGCGGTTTTGCGCAGAGGGATAAACTTTCTTAATTATAACTTTCGCTCGCGTAGTTCACATGTAATTCGCGCGCGCGCATGCAAAGCTCAAAATGCAAACTAATTCGGAAGAATCAAATTCGAAACTAAAGTTTCGTGCAGAGGCACAACTTTGTGCGCGTAAAGTTTGATGGAGCAAATAAATGATTTACGTCAGGATGCGTGACATTTGGCAAGATAGTGTAAAATATAAGTAGAAATACAAAACAAAATATTCTAAAGCAATGATCAAGTCTATGGAATAAAATGCATGTTGTATGGTTGTTGCTATTCGTGTTGAACACTCGTTTGAGCTTTCCTGCCGTAACGACTCACGACAGGAACACATCAAACATAGAAGTATATAAGAATGCTTGCATTCCGTATTTAACATTACGTCGACTAATCCGGGAGCTTTCCATTCGCTAGAAATATTTCTATTTCTATTCCCCGATCGCTTTCCGCTCCCGCTGGTAAGACGCGTATACATGTCGGTTCTATTTCTATTTTCTATAAAACAACCAGCACTAGCGCGACGACAAAATTCAGGAAAATCTAAGCCTTATCGAGATCACCAACGAAAACTATGCGTCGTATCGGTTTCCACAAGGCACGCACGCTCCAACAAATGAAATAAAATCAGAAACAAAACACAAATGAAACGAGCTTAGCTATATTATGGTCGGCGGTAGTCGTGCAGTTGGCATCTAACTCAAGCACAACGAGCAATAATAACAAAAGACATTCACCGTGTGGTAGTGTATAGCGCAAAAGCTCGCGGCTCGAAAAGCTCCCAAAGTATTTATGTATATTTACGTATGTATTTACGAATTACCTACGCGGCGTTAGTTAATTCGTCGTCGGGCGCTGCCACGCTCGGAATTTATACAACTAAAACCCAATTTGTAACCGATAAGCATCGCAGCCCGCACGGTTGCGTCGCACACGAGCGCACGACGATACGTTATGCGCGCGGAGGGAAATAAAGGCGCGCTGCTCGGTAGAAATGCACACGAAACGAGAAATGAGAAAAGGAAATTTCAACGATACCAGCACAAAGCGAACGCGATCGCGGACGCGAAAGCTTCGTCAGAATGTGGCCGAGAAGCACGCAAAGTCGAAGAATGTAATCGAGCTATGGGGGGAAACTGACAACATCAGTTCGAAATTTAATACCCTCGAATGGCGATAATAAATTCTATAAAGACAAAAGACGAAACGGGGAAATCACGAAATTTAACTTGAAACCGTGTACAAATCACAGGTCAGACTAATTAATTACATTTAACAACGAAAATAAAATTTAAAATTAGGAAAAGTTAGATTCGCGAATGTTTTGAAGCGTAAAATATAGAAATATAGCAATTGATTGCGACCTTCACCGTTCAACTAGACGTTGTCGTCGGTTTTGCTATGCTCGAGTGCGTCTAGACTTAATGGAGCACGCAGAAAACGATCACAAATGTCTGTAAACTGCACGCTGCAATCTAAACTGATTGAACTTAAGCCAGAAACGCAAAGAGACATGTCAATTTTAGACATTTCACATTTTCTCATATTTCTCATCCACGTACTTTTCATGTCATCCAATCCTTTTATTTTCTATTATTACTATCACTTGTTGATTTATTATTTATGGTAGTTCAATATCAAAGGTTTTGGCTCAAATCTCAATTATGTCTCACGGAAATGTTAATTATACATGTAGGTGTGCGACTAACGGACGAAAGTGAAACTAATTTCTTGTTATGACTATTACGCCTGCGCCTGTCGGCGAGCTCGGCTTCCTCGGCTCCTACACGCTCAGAAAAGCAATGTTTTCATTACCTACGAGTCGGTGGCGATCTTAAGATCATGAGATCGTGATTTATTTATTTATCCGCAAGCCAGCACGATGCAATCCATACACGATGCAATCTGCGAGCCGAAAAAAAAAACCTTTTAATTATTGCTTATTTATTTTCTTATTATTACATGTTTGTTTCTCTGGTCATTATTATCGTTTTGATTAGTTCGTGGATCCCTGCTGTGATCGATTCATTAAGATTTAATATCGAAATAACAACGAGAACCGCAGCAACAAATAAAAATTAAATGATTGAAAGTGGTTGAAATTTTCTTCGAGTCCAATTGTTTTCAATCCATTCAGTTTGTAATTAATTTATGGTTTATTTGTTTCTAATAATCCTGCGATAAATTTCGTTGTTGCAATTACTGTTTAGTCCGGTGTGTGTTTGGCGCTAAGTTATTTTCGATTTTCGAATGGAAACTAGTTTCACCAAATTAATCGGCTCCCGCAATTTCGATCCGTATTACACCTACAACTGGTTTGTTTCCAACCTGCCGTAGGTGAGCTGCGCAGCAAATAATTATGAAATTAAATTTAATTTAGCATGGCAACACTTTATTAAGGCGCGCGCGTTTATTTGCAAGCGTGATTTAATTAACAAAACAGTAAAACACTAAATGCTGAACGCTAATTGGTTGTTTATTATTTAATGTCGCACACAGTAACATATTTGCTACATAGAAATACAAAATTTGTTGTTGTTTGTGCGAAAAATTTTAAATTAATTTTGCGTGTTATTGAATCAAATTATTTATGCCCGGTTTGGAATAATATTCAAGGTGCAGTGAAATAAGAAAGTCTAAACTTGCTTCTTATGGTAATGCTTTTTATTTGTGAGTGTATGTTTTGCTACTGATTGTCCTGCTTTGTCGATCGGTGCATTGTGAGCGGCGTCAAAAGTCGCGCAAACGAAGAGAAATTTGCAATTAGATTTTTTTCTTTTCAGATGCAGAGCAAAGTGACTAAACAGAAGTAATTGTGAACTTTCTAAGTGTTGCTATGTCGAACTTGGCGACCGGAGAATAATCAAATCAAATTTAATTTCTTTACCATTCGCTTTTAATGTCAATTTAAAATATGGTCAAACGAGTTCGAAGAGAAGAAGATGTCAACGATTAAAACGTAATTAAAAATGTAAATGACAAACGATTTGCATAATTTCGGCGTTAAATAAATAAAATTCATTCGGGTTTTTTTAATGTGGGCCTTGAAAATGTTTCCGATCTAAAAACCTAAATATTCAAATAATCGTTTCCTGTCGCAGCTGAGAATACGAGCATCTCAAATTAATGATGTTTATGTTTTTTTCTAATCAACAGTTTCCCTTTTGGGTTTGCTTAATAACATCTATTAACACTAATCGCACAGGTAATTACCGCACCAAATAGGAAGTTTAAATTGTATGATGTGAAACTTTTAACGCACGAAAACCGCTTTAAAGCGATTTAATAACGTTGCTTTAATTTGGTGGCGACAATGACTTTTTGTTGCATCGTCACCGCGTATTACTCACGTCTCAAACGCTCTCAACCAATTCAATTTGCTTGTAATTTACAGGTAACTGCACCGATGCAGAATGTCGAATTTGAACAAGCGTGCGAACATTGTAAATAGTGCTAGAGTAAAGTGAAGCAAAGTAGAGTATTCTAGATTATGAAAGCCTTTCACTGGCCCCACCTGAAGGTGGTATAAAAGCAACGGGAACCACCAAGGTTTGATCAGTTCACATCTGACACTTGAATCAAAAATCACCACGATGAAATTAAAAGTAAGTAATATCTTCATCTTCATCAATCAAAATGTGATTAAATAAAAATTTTTGTTTTTTTAAATTTAGATTATTGTTGGAATACTGATGATGTTTGTGGGTACAACTTTCGCGGGTTTCTCATCCAGTGGTCATGACGGTGGCGATCATGGTGGTGGAGGCGGAGGAGGCGGCGGTGGCGGAGGTCATTTTGATTTTTCACAATTTGAAAGCCACCAAGAAGAACACCATGAAATCCCAACAAAAACAGTAGAATATTCCAAACCAGTTCATGTTCCAGTAGTCAAAAAGGTTGGAATCCCAGTTCCTCATCCAGTCGGAGTGCCAGTACCTCAAGTAATCAAAGTACCAGTCCCACAACCATACCCGGTTCATGTCCCGGTGCCGCAACCCATTGCAGTACCAATTTATAAACTGGTACCTCAAGAAATTGAGAAAAAAGTGCCCATCACCGTGGAGAAACCAGTGCCGGTCCACATTGAGAAACCATACAAAATTGAAATTGAAAAACATCATCCTGTCCATGTGCCCAAGCCGTACCCAGTTCACGTACCTGTCTACAAACACGTCTACCATCACATACCAAAACACCATGGAGGCGGTGGTGGACATGGTGGTCATGGAGGTGGCGGACATGGAGGCGGCGGACATGGTGGCGGTGGACATGGTGGTTGGCATTAAGTCCTCTACGACCTTCGCATAACAATGGAATGAATGGAACTAACGGAACAAAGAAAAACGCCAAATAACGCCCGCAACATACAGTGTGTCCCGTCGGAGGTTGAATGCAAAGGTGAAAGGGAAGTTGGATGGTTGGAAATTGAAAGGTGCGACCATGAAAGTTTTCTTTTTTTATATCGCTCGGCTTTTCTTTCACTTTTGTGTACGACTCCGACGTGCACGCTTTATGTTGTTCTATCTTGCCATCTTGCCATCAAACGTAAAAAAAGATGAAAACGTAAAAAGGCCGTCCAAGTCACGATCCATTGTCATAGACATCGCACGATCGTTGGAAACACGCGCAGTTTTCATCGCAATTTTCACATCGTAATCGTCTATTTCGCATCACACATCGTACCGCATCATCATCATTGCCAGGCAATCAACTTTTAACCAAATGATTTTTAATTAGTTTGATAAGTGTTTTTATTGTTGTTTATTGTTTTGTTACAAGAGAATGGAGAGCGTGGAGCGTAGCAAAACGCTGGTTTTATTGTTGTGTAATTTTATTAATTCTTATGATAATTTGTTAATTATTTAATGTTTTTCCGCTTTGCTGGGTCTTTCTTTAAGACCCAAGACTTTCCATTTCGTTGCTACAAAATATAGAAAATTGAGTGCAAATAAAAGTACATTTTGAATTAAAACCACACTAGTTTTGTATGTTTTAGCAAATGGGTAAAAGGAAGAAAGTGTCACTTTCACTATATTTTGCGTTTTGCATTAGGTACGCAGTGATCCAAGACGCATCGACGGTCGCCAGTTTGCTGTTTATTATTTGCAATTATTATTACAGACATTAGCGGTGGAATCATAGACCATGAAAACAAAATTTACTTTCTCCAACATAACAACTGTACATCAATGTCAATGACCAACGAAAGCCTTGCAAACAGATTGTAACACTATTGAAATAGTTTAAAAGTAGTTCTGCAGTGAGGTTAACTTTTACGTAGCATTTGGTGTTTGTGTTGTGCTTGCGCTAGCAATATATTTGCGCGTAAAGCAATATTAGCACATTTTCGGGACGACGTGTTGTTATTCCCGATGCGCTCGGTCGGTTTCACGGATTAAGGGATAGTCCGTGGCACGTCGTAAATCGACGCGGAATTCGGCGGGGCGGTATCACAAAGCAAGCAAAAGCGCACGCGCAAAGAACACACAAAGCGATGAGACACAAGAAACAAGAAATAAGAAAGAAATACGCGAAGCGCATAAGGTGCAGAGTCGACGCTGGGACAGATTTATGAAGTCAGTCTGATTTACACCACAAAACACAAGAGCAAAAAGAAAACAACGCACCAGAAGGTTGAAGATATTCGTCTATGAATAAAACTTACGATTTCATTTAATTGACAGCAGAGCGAAAAAATTTTAAAATTTAAAACTTTCAATTCGTTGAAATAACTGCGACGGCCGACATCTTTACGAGCATGGAACCGTAGAGTCCAAACGAATCGCATTCGTTTCGCTGCAAGGGTCCTTCGGGATGAATATCGCGCGCATACATCATCCACGCCGCGTTTACGAATTACGACACGTGGAGGCATATGCCGTGGCGTGTCAATGCGTTCATTACAATCACAATGAGCGATCTTTTTCGGATTCATTATCGAGACACACACTCTACGTATGCCTGTGTGACACGATACAAGATGATACACATGTACAACAACCATGAGATCATGAGTAAAGAGTATGAAGTGAAAAGCACACACGAAATAAAAAGAAATCAAAGTTGTACCTGTGGAGTAGGTACACACAGTTCATAAACGAATGTAATTTACACGACACATCTACTTGTGTGCCTGCAGCAGATGAACAGGACACACATGGGTCTTTCATGGGTCTTTCACATAGCGTTTGGCTTTTATATGCGTTGCGCTGTTTTGTACGAAGATGATTTACTCGATTCACTTGCGTCGAGTAAAAACACGTTCTCGTGCGGTACGCAAGAATGTGTTCTCCTATTCATGGGAGCGTGAAGCATCGCGGACCTTTGAACCAGAAAAATCGAAATTATCATATTTGATTAGGCGTACAATGCGCGCGCTTGGCCCGAACACGGATCCCCAAAGAGGCACGAATCATGCACCATGAAACCCGTCATAAATTACAATTTAGTCCAAAATGTTGTGCTTAATCGCAAGCATCGAATATTAAATCCCAAAAGAGTTCCCAAAAGGATCATCAACTCGAAGAACTTAGTTGGGAGTATACTTTGAAGTTTGAAGTTATGTGAGGTGTCAATTTTCAATTTGGTCATCAGTTTTTTTTTCCAGCTTGCTATTTGCTTGGACCTCGTTGGACTTTGGACAGTTGCTGATGGAATTATTCAGCGCACGTATAGCGCTCCCCTTTTTCTTCGTTTCGCCCTTTTTGCTGCGCAGTACGAGCGGGCACATCTTGTTAGTATTTTTTGGCTTTGCGCGCTCTGTGCGGAAATTCGCACGAGGGCGTCGAGCGCGCCGCGTAAAATTTAGCCATAATTGTTTTCGGAGTTACTGCTGAATAATTCCGGGCGACCAGGGAGCACGGTAAATGTTCGCCGAGCGTGTCGGGCATGCAAGAGGACGGGATATGCACGAGGGATCTATAAGATCTGCACTTTATGTACATGACATCAGACCAAAATCGCCAAAAATTACCCAAGGAATTGCTCCTAAATTGAAACTTGCTAAACTATACTTTGAAAATAAATATTTTGACTCTGCTGGATTTTATGATTATGAAGACATTCTTTAGCAGCCTTTATATTTTGTTATTTCATACTTTACTTTGCGTCCTTTATTCTGAAAGAAATAACTAGCAATAGAATGTATTAGTATGTGCTGAAACTGCTAAAGTGGATGGCCAATGTTGCAATGCAGTTACAAGATGCTGGTGTCCTTGTCTTAGAATAGAGCGACGATGGCTGGCGTTGGTGGCGGCGGCAGTGGCAGCATCGTCGCAACGTAAAACGTAAAAGGGAGATGAATTATTTCGGGTGGAAGGCAGTAGATTGTCGCCATATATCACCGAGCGTGGCGCAATTCTTTCCGCGCAATAATTTGTCAGGATGTGTCTCTGCTACGCTCGCGCGGGTTGCTCTTATTTCTGCCGCCAACCAGCACCACCAGTGCGCGCCAACTGGGATGCTCAGTCGTTAGACAAATAACTAATAGAACGACGCAAACGACAGAAACTAGAATTTGAACCTGCATGTGTAAAATAAAAAAAACTCAAAAGTTAACTATCGTGTTTACAGATAGGTGGCGTAATCGGTATAAATTTTAGAATATTTTTTTAGAGATGTGATTGTAAAGACGTGTAATACATCCTGTCTCCTTCCGTTCATTTATGTTTTTTTTATGTGTTAGATGTGACAGTGCGTCGTTTTGTTTGTTATCCGCTGCTGGTCTGGTAGCAGGCGCATACATATGGGTAAACAATGAGGTGAGGGTCCAATAAAAGGCAATCTCCCGGCCGATTTAATATCAGCGCTTGTGACGGCCATAAATAACGGCGGGACCCGCTGCCGCCGCCACCACCGCCGCCTTTGCTGGAAAGCGTTGCCGCGTTTCGGGAAGAGAGCCTCCCGGCCGGAGAGCTAACGACATTCCAGTCGTTATCAGAGACAGCCTCGGCAATATCACTCGGCGCTCACTCTTTCGCTCACCCCCGGCTCAATCTCGCTCCCGCTTGCGCCGCCATCGTCGTCGTCGTCGTTCCGCTCGTTCTGGCTGTCAGCGCGGCGAAAGGGGCACGCGCTGGATGCCATTCGGGACTGCCATGAGAGACGCCAGGAATGCGGATATTGCCGTTTCGAAACAGTTACGCTTGCGTTTCACGCACCCTAGAACTCGCAACGATACCCGCCAACCCACCCGAAACGGCAACACACACACAAAATTATTTTGCATCACTCTGATCCATCAATATTGAATCCAAAGATGTGATATATTCCTATATATGGATTGCGATGAGTTATTTCCCATCTTTCCTTGACATGATCTGCAAGCAGCAGCGACCACGGGCTGGAAAAGATGTTGGAAGTTGGGAAATATTGAAAGAGACCCTCGGACAGCACGCCAGAAACGTAATAATTCACCCTCGTACCAGTCGGGCCTGTGTGGGCACAATCCCGCATCCCTAAAATGTTGTTCATGCCATACTTGTGCTAATATCACTCTTCCTCCCCAACCCTCGGAAGCACACATTTGTTTAGTAGCCGGAGAAAAGTGGACCGCGTGGACGACATCGCAATGGATCGGTATGCACAAACATTACATGACACTCAGGACATTCACAACCCGGCAACCATAAACAAACGACAAACAATTCAGCGACGAAGCATGCCTATCATCGTCGGGCATCAGGCGCATCAGAACAAACTGTCCTTCCGTGGGTCTTTGCTCGTTTGTTTGCGGTCGCATATAAATCGCAATGTTTAGACAATCCGTGTCACATTGTGGAGCATGGTCATATTTTAGGGTTCTTCAGGTCCCATAGCCTTCAACCTTTCTTCCTTTCACACATCACACCTCATATCAATCAGCTACCTCTGCTACCAGTTGTGGTTTGGGAGCTAATCTAAATAAATAAGCAGAGTTAAGTTTTATTTAGCTTTTCAGTTTTGTGTGTTATTGAGTTTGGGCCAATCCATTGTTGTGAGGTCTTATATCTTTCGGTTGTAACGAGAACTGGTTAAGGGGTTTCCAGCCGCTAACGAGAAATCCCCCGCCTCACGTTAACTTTGCTTTAACATGTAAAGTAAGTAACATGCAACAATCACATCGCCCCGGCGATAAATAACTCGCACGGCAGGCCATTGTGTGCTCCGCCAACATTTCGGCATGGCGGCGATAGCTAAGGCGCGCGCTCGAAATCAAGTCGAAGCTGCCGCCTGGGCTGCAACGCGCCCGACGATAGGCTTCATTAAATCCGTTATCGCGACTCTCCTACGTTTTCGCCGCGGCGAGGGAAACTTTTAAATTTATTTCACTTATCGTTATTCTAAGCCCAGCACGACCCCAGCCAAACGACCACCCTTGACACCGGCTAAAATGCAACCTTTCTCAACTGCACACAAAAAGTCAATTACGTTCAAACTTTGAACTTCAAAAAAAAAGCAAAAAAACAAAAAAAATCAGTATTATATACCCAGCTATATGTGTGATGTATAATAAAAGTCGGATGAAGGTATAAACCGGAGGTTGTAACACACATCATTCGCCCAATTGTACAAATCGCGTGAGTATAAAGAAATAAAGAAGTGCGAATGAAATTTACGCGCCTCTTCGGCCATCATCATCGCACGCTACTCATCCGTACGTAAACACTGCCGCTGGGAGTTTTACGGCCGTAAAATCGGAGACCTGTAGCGCCTCATCTACGGCCATTCCAAATCCCCTCGTATGACATATGACATATGCGCTACTTTAAATGTTTACGTTGTGTATAATTTGGTGACGGCGCCGAAGACAAATCTCGAAGAATTGGCGCATTAAATAAAAGTCGGAAATGTCGATGTGAATGTGGAGGATGACGCGCCTGGGGGATTCTCGCATTCTCGAACGGTAGTAAGTTTTTTTTACGAGATCATCATGCTCATGATCATCGGGTGATACGCTCATTTTTACAACACCTC